CATCATTGGTGATGAGATTAAGTCTTATCCCCAACATGCAGTGATGTCTCCATTAGCCTCCAACTTCTGTGCAAGGAGAACTAAGACACCGGTATATATACCAGTGCTCCGATCTTCTGTATGGCTGTTTTTTGTGTGCCTGGCACTTATGGGAAATGACAGAAGATAAGAGGGCCCTCTTTTAATATATCTCTGACTGCAACATGTGCAGGCGAGATGGAAGGTGGAGACTGAACACATGTGAGGAAGGAGGGAGCGGTTGAACATTTCTTCAGTTTAGGTTCAAGCATGGGCTGAAGAAAATTGTAGATGGTCATAACACTTTCTTCCTTTTGAAACAAGCACCACAAGTTGCTGAGGTTCCTATTCAAAACCAGTGGACTTAAAAAGGCAGTAGCATTTCTCATTACTGCCTTTATACCCAAGCAAGAAAAGTACAAAGAAAACCATTCTAGCATCAAGTTTCAATTATTGTTAAAGAAATGCTAGAGGTCTCTTTTCTGTTTAGCTTTGAATTTGCACTAGTATAAAGGGCACATTGTCCAAAAAATGGGTTGCTTTAAAAAAGCTCAATTCATTTTCAAACATGGGGTATCTAGAGCAAGGAATTTGAGAGTCCCGAACTAAAAACTTCAATGCATGATCATAACTAGTTATCTCATTCTAGACAACTCAAGCTATGCCAGTTATTTGAATATTTTATTTACATGAAGGATATATGCATTCTTCAGCAAGTCATTCTTGGCCCAACTTCTGGCCAAACTATTGAAATTAACCATATGAGAAAAGTTTTAAAAGTACTGGATCTTGAATTTGTCTTTTATGTGTATTTCCCTTTACATTTCATCTCTAATGTGAAAGGTTTCATAAGCTTGGAAACAATGAGGAAGGCAATTAGAACACCAGCCAAGATATGTCTTCTGAAATCAATGAAACAAATTATTACTTTCAGTGTGTCTTCTCTCATAGTATTTTGGTACAGTTAAATAAGGCACAATTGACATTTTTCTATTAAAAGAGAATGGCAGAATATTTACCCAAGAAATCTCTTGATAGGAATTTTAATTAATACAGACAAAAACATGTCTGGTTAATCTCTTGGGAAAACTGAGCAAATAAAATAGTAGTTTAAATACCCAGTATTCGAATGCAATGGGATTTGTGCTCTGTGGCACTTTCTTTCCTCATCATTAATATTGCAGATATTTACCAGAGCTGTTTGTCTTGATTAGCACTGATACATTACTCATGGTATCATCCCATTGTTTCTTTGATACTAATGATTGCCCACTGTGGGGTGCATTTTTTTGTAGTAGAGGCCTCATTGTTATATTAAAATGGGCAGCCATTGTTGTAGTAGTCACTGGTTCAGATGACTATTATTTTAGTGGTGATTGGTCCTAATCCATTTCCTCCAAGCAGTGCATACCATGGCAATATAGTGTTGCCATTCATGCATGTTGATCCATTTTACCGATATACACACACACATATAAAGAGAGGAAGGAAAGGTAGAGAAAATCCAAACTATATACATAGACTCTTGGTTAACTGGGACCCATGTGGGTTGGTAGATGTCAGATAAAGGTAGTTTATTGTTGCCTGGGGCTCCTTCCACACAGCTGAATAAAATCCCATATTTTCTGCTTTGAACTGGAATATATGGCAGTGTGGATTCAGATAACCCAGTTCAAAGCAGATATTGTGAGAGTTACTGGCCCTGAGAGTTACTGTTAAAAATAGACCAAATACTACACCTCATACTATACCGTATCTGTATAGTATTGACTTGGGATTGCTATTGAACTACAGCAATTATTGACTTGGTATGCATATCGAAGTACATCAATTAAAAGGAAATTAAGCTGAATAAAACAATTTTAATGTAACACTGTTTTACTGTATTATAAAAACAACTTTGTGGATACAGAAATGGTTCTCTATTTTTTATCTTTTTTATTTTTTGCTGGTTGCTTGTGAATTCAAATAACTTGAGTTCCAGTTAAGTGAGAGTCTACTGTACATTCAATAGCGACTAGTGAGGAAGGTCCTTCATGGTTGAAGGATGCACATCCCTGGCAGTAAAGCCATTGGCAACATAGAAGCAATCTGCAGTCCTAGTCATGCCCAAGAAATAGAGTGGGGATTACTTCCAAGTAATAGGATAACATGGTCAATCCCCGGATGTTTTTTCTCTCCCCTTCTATCTGAATTTCAGTCCTACTAATCCTTCAGAAAGTATATTCTATCACAGTCCTTGCATTGGTCTGCAGAACCATATCCTCCCTTCACAAGACAGAGGAGAACATTTTATATACATTTTATATACAGATGCTGAGGCATGCATTAAGACTTAATTTCTCCTGTAAAACTATATTTAATGTATACATTCCAAAAAGAATGGAATTCAGTGATCCTTTGAGATGGAAAAATATGTAGAATTGGATTATATGTAAAAATAATACCTTATTTAAACTCAAATTTAGAATCATTATTTTTCAGATTGAGAAGACAGAGTTAGTATACTAATTGGAAGTAACATTTCACTTCTGTCAATTTAACTTAGTGTTATAGGTATAGCATTTAGTGTTTTAATGTAGTCTACTTTAACCTTTCATCTTCTGTTAGTTGTGCAAACATGTATACTTGTTATTCTCTCTGTTTCTGCACAGTCTGATTGTTGCTTGATGTTGTCTAACATGTATATGCTAAAAACCATAATTATTAATAATAGTAATTTTAAAAATCACAAAGAAATAATACTTTACATTTTTGAAAAATGCTTTTAAAATAAAGCAGTAAAATACTTAATTTCTCCCTTCTCCTTGAGGGAACACATCTCACCCCAGAGGCTAGAAAAGGCTATACAGTACTGAAGAAAAGTGTGTGTTAGGGAGAAAGTCTTAATGCATACCTCTATATTACTCTAGGCTGGAAGACAATCAGCAAAGCTTTTCTTCTGAGGGAAGCTGTGAGTTTTTTGAGCTGTATGGTCATGTTCCAGTAGTATTCCTGTCCAAACTTATCTCCCTTTATGAATCAGTTCAAGTGCTAAGATTGGCTGGGGAGGTACAGCTCTTGATCCTACCACCTTTGCAGGTGTGATTGGTGGGAATGGGAGACAGGGCCTTCTCGGTGGTGGCCCCTCGGCTGTGGAACCGGCTCCCTCCCTCCTGGTGTTCAGAAAGAGAGTGAAAATGTTGCTATGCAAGCAGGTGTTTGGCGAATAGTACTACTGAAACAGCTAAATGTTAACCATGGGACTGGTGCAATTTTTAATATGTTTTATAGTCATGTTATGATCTGTCTTTGTATAGTTTAAATAATTTTAATTCATATTTATATGTTATTGATTTAGTTATGTTATGTATTGCTTTTATATGTATGTTCAACATTGAATTTGTATATATATGTTCAGCATTGAATTTCATCATGTTGTACACCACTCTGAGTCCCCCCTGCCCCTCAGGGCTGGGAAAAGTGCTATAGAAATAAATAAATAAATAAATAAATAAATAAATAAATAAATAAATAATATTCTCTCCTTATGTTTTGTCTGCATCTGTGGCAGGCATCCTCAGAGATTTGTTCAGACATCTATGGGAATGAGGCAGGCGTGGTGTGTGTGTGTGTGTATTATATATATATATATATATATATGTGTGTGTGTGTGTGTGTGTGTGTGTGTGTGTGTGTGTGTATCTGTGGAATGTCCAGGGTGGGAGAAAGCACTCTTGATTGTTTGAAGCAAGTGTGAACGTTGCAATTTACCAATTAGATTAGCAATTGAGTAGCCTTGCAGCTGGAAAGACTGGTTGTTGCTGCCTGGTGGCATCCTTTGTTTGGGAGGTGTTAACTGGCATTTGATTTCCCTGTTTCTGAGTGGTGTTCTTTATTTACCATTGTTTCTGGTGTTTTTAATATTGGTAAAGAAATAAAGAAAACTTTATTTATAATCCATCCTTTCACCCCAAATGAGGCAGGGCTCCTGACTGAAAGGTCAGCAGTTCAAATCTGGGGAGTGGAGTGAGCTTCCATCTGTTAGCTCCAGCTTCTCGTGTAGGGACATGAGAGAAACCTCACACAGGATGGTAAAACATCTGGGCATCCCCTGGGCAACATCCTCACAGACAGCAAATTCTCTCACACCAGAAGCCACTTGCATCTTTTCAAGTCACTCCTGACACACTCACACACACAAATACCTAAGGGACTCAGGTTGTTGAAATTGTCCATGTGCTTGTGCATTTCAGTGTCTTCTCTGTGTAATCTGACATGATGGTTGTCAGAGTGGTCCATCATTACTGTGTTCTCAAATTTATTTATTTATTTACCATATTTTTATACTGCCTCTCTCAACCCAAAGGTGACTCGAGGCAGTTTACAGTCAGCAATCAATGCCCCCCCACTAGTATTCAAGGAGCCCCCGGTGGTGCAGTGGGTTAAAGCCCTGTGCTGGCAGGACTGAAGACCGACAGGTCGCAGGTTCAAATCCGGGGAGAAGCGGTTGAGCTCCCTCTATCAGTTCCAGCTCCTTCTGTGGGGACATGAGAAAAGCCTCCCACAAGGATGATAAAACATCAAAAATCATCCAGGCGTCCCCTGGGCAACGTCCTTGCTGACGGCCAATTCTCTCACAACAGGATGCTCCTGACATGACAAAAAAACAACAACTAGTATTCAAATAGTATTCTGTGTAGAGGTTGGTTCACCAAGTGCTCTGCTATAGCTGACTTCCCTGGTTGAATTAGTCTGCAGTGCCTTCCATGCTGTTTAATTCCTGTTTGGTGGTCCCTATGTAGACTTTGTGGCTTCCTAGGCCCTGCCATTGACTAGTATCCCCATGGAGAGGGTTACCCCGTTCAGGGAGAACTCCCTCAGCGTTTTCTTTCTTTTTTTTCTCATCAGACTAGGAATTTCTCCCTCCTTTTTCCGAGAGGATACCCTCCTCCTTGCGTTCCCACACACACAGGGCCCCCTCCCCTTGCAACTTGGCAATGCATGTCTTTCTACTTGTTCTTCTTCAACGCGAGGCATCACTGCCAATGCCTTCTGTCTGTCTGGGAGCTCTTTTGACTGGCTGAGGGAAGTCCAGGGCTCTCATGCCGTCTCCGCCTCCTATCCTCCTATTCCTCCTCCTCCTCCTCCTCTTCTTCCTCCTCCTCCTCCCTTCGCCTGGCTCGCCTTGACGTGTTCAGGAATGTGGCTCGCCGGCTGCTGGCCGGAGAAGGGAGGAAAAGAGCCGGGAAAGGCGAGAAGGAGGTCTTCTTCCTCCTCCTCTTCCTCTTTGCTTGGTGTTCTCCCCAGCATGGTATCCTCTCTTGGGATTCGCCCGCCTCTTTAAATGCCCAGCCAGCTGGTTGCCCACAACAACAAGCCCCAAAATGCCCGAAGTCCCCGGCATTGGCGAATAGGCGAAGACTGGAGGGAAAGAAAAGCAGCTTTGGATGGGCAGCACGAGGGAACTCTCCAAGGTGCTGAAACCCCGGCTGCTTCCTGCTCCGGCTGAAAGCAGCCTTGGATGGGCAGCACGGGGGGAACTCTCCAAGGTTCTGAAACCCCGGCAGCTTGAAAGCAGCCTTGGATGGGCAACGCGGGGGGCTCTCCAAGGTGCTGAAATCCCGGCCGCTTCCTGCTCTGGCTGAGCAATCAGTGCAACTCTCCGCTTTCCACCTCGTGTTTCCTTTTCATGACTCGGAGACAGGCGCCGGCGGCGGGGAAGCGCTGGTAGATGCCTCCCAAAACCATGGCCCGGATTCAGTACCTGCGCGCCGCCGCCGTCTCGGGATTCTACCTCTGGGAAGCCGCCCTGCTGCTCAGGTGAGTCGCCCCTCATACCTGGCCCAGGTGTGCCTCCCTTGCTGTGGCTTCCACCACAACGTCAAATCTATGGGACTGCTGGATGGGGGGAAATGTATCTTCTACTCTCAAAGCTTTCTCTCACACACACTCATAACACGCCTCGCCTGGCAAAGTGGGATTTATGTGGACACTGTCATGCTGTTGTATAATAGTTGCTCTTGCTTCCCCTAATGGTTGTTTTGGGCTCGATATTGACATGCTTCTCTTCTCCTCAGATTGGAGTTCTTTCCCCTGTGTGATTTAGAAATTATTATTACTATTAGTACTACTATCACTCTGCTTTTCACTGAGCCCTAAAACAGTTCTGAGCAAATGAGAAGTGAGTGTGCATTGGCACTGTTCTTCTTTTTTAAAAATAACTTTAAATGCCAGGGCCCTTCCACACAGCTCTATGTCCCAGAATAACAAGGCAGAAGATCCCACATTTTCTGTATGTGGACTCAGGGCCCTTTCACACAGCCCTATATCCCAGAAMATCAAGGTACAAAATCCCACATTTTCTGAATTTGGATTCAMYGCCCTTCCATGGAGCCCTATATCCCAGAATATCAAAGCTGAAAGTCTCACATTTTCTGAGTGTGGACTCAGGGCCCTTCCACACAGCCCTATATCCCAGAATATCAAGGCAGAAGATCCCACATTTTCTGAGTGTGGACTCAGGGCCCTTCCACACAGTCCTATATCCCAGAAAATCAAAGCAGAAAATCCCACATTTTCTGAGTGTGGACTCAGGGCCTTTCCACACAAACCTATATCCCAGAATATCAAGGCAGAAAATCCCACATTATCTGCTTTGAACTGGGTTTTCTGAATCCATACTCAGATAATGTGAGAGTTTCTGTCTTGATATCTTGAGATATAGGGCTGTGTGGAAGGGCCCTCTGATAACATAGTTCAAAGCAGATATTGTGTGATTTTCTGCCTTGATATTCTGGGATATAGGGCTGTGTGGAAGGGCACTGGGAGATGGAGATCTAAGGAGATGGGGCAGAATATAAATAAAGTTGTTGTTGTTATGCACTATCCATTGGTACTTTGCATGTATTATCCATTGGTACATGAAATAACTTTGCATGTATGCTCCATTGGTACTATACAGAAATCACTATGGGCCGTACCAGACAGACCTATATCCCAGAATATCAAGGCAGAAAACCCCACAACAGCTGCTTTGAACTGGGTTATCTGAGTCCACACTGCCATATATTCCAATTCAAAGCAGAAAATGTGGGATTTTATTCAGCTGTGTGGAAAGGGCCTGAGTCTCATTGTGGAGAGAAAAAGTGGGGTATTATTATTATTAATAATAATAATAATAGTAATAATAGTAATAATTTACACTGCTTTCCGCTCTATGTTGAGAACAAAAGGGAAATGAGGAAACATTAGCACTGTTCTTTTTTTATAACTATAAATTACTTTGCATGTGTTATCCTGTGGTACTATACAGAAATAACAATAACAACACAACAACAATAAAACAACACCCCTGCTTTTGTCTCTTTATCAAGACCCAAAAGGGGCTACCTACAAATGAGAAATGGCAATGTTCTTTTTTTCCCCAGAACGAGAAATAACTTTGTGTGTATGAGCCACTGGTAGATAATAATAATAATAATAATAATAATAATAATAATAATAATGCTTTTTTTCCCCCTGAGACCAGAAACAAATGAGAAATGAAGGAATATTGGTGCTGTTCATTTACCCTCCAGAACTAGAAATAACTTTGTGTATATGAGCCATTGGTACTATGCATAAACAATAATAATAATAATAATAATAATAATAATAATAATGCTTTTCGCTTTTCCTTGAAACTGAAACAAATGAGAAATGAAGTAATTTTGGTGCTGCTCTTTTCCTCCTTAGACCTAGAAATAACTTTGCATGTCTTCTCCACTGGCACTATACTAAAGTGATGGCAACTAATCTTTAAGAGTCAAGATAGTTCTAGTATCTTCCACCACTGTTGACAACTCAAGTAAAAGATTGGCTCGCTTCTCAATATTATACGACACCCTGTTTAAATTTGAGTGGTATTGCCAACTACCCTGATGTAGACTCTGATGGATTCCCCTTGGGAAACATTAAATAGCAATAGCAACCATTTCTCAATAGCAAATGGGAAATGATGGCATGTTTGCACTGCTGTTGTTTTTTTCAGAATCAGAAATAATTTTGCATATGTTCTCAATCCATTGATACTATATTAAAGAGATGGTTATTGATCCTTAAGAGGTAACCTATGTATCTTCCACCACTATTGAGAAACCATGTAAAAGATTGGAATGTTTCCTAAAATTGTGTGATATTCTGTTTAATTTTGAAATACATTTTATATTTTGACGTGAATTCTAGTGGATTCTCCAGTATTACTCTTCAAAAAGCATTAAATAGCAACTGCAGAAATATTTTATCATTATTTCCTAAAGACGGATGTCCAAACTTTCTCTTTTGATAAACAAATCCCATCTTAACTGAAATAATTAGTGCAGTAGGGTGTACTGTTCATATTTTTAAACCGAATAGTATATCTGAATTCTCTTGCAGTTCACTCCAAAGCAATTCCAAAGTGCTTGAATTTAACTTGATTCAATTAAGCCAGTTTCATTTCATAAAAGTAAAATGATACAGAATATGTTTAAATAAGAAAAAAAATCTATACAATGTATGAGGCTATTAATATTGAGTTCAGACCAAGCACTCATCATAAATTAAACAGCATAGGTAAAGAATGGACTATAAAGGCACTTTGCTCCTAATATTGCGTTGACATCTGGCCATTCTAAAAAAAAGCATCATACCAAGAACACTGAAATATTAGGCTGTTTTATCTTTCTTACATTTTGGTTTGAAAGAACTTTCTAAACATACTACACATTATATATAGGCATGCAGCATATTTATCAACATATTTATTGTTTAATGGGGGGGGGGCAAGAAGGAAAATGATATTAATATTGTTCTTATATATACACATATATTCTTAGGTGGTACGACAAATAACAGGAAGAGGAAATGTTGGCATTAGTAAATAGTAGCAGAAGCCAATGCATGTTTACATGCATATATTTAAGACTGTAATTTATATTTCCACATTTAAGAAATGGGAAGCCAAAAGCAATGTGTCTCAAACCTAATTAAAATGAAAATAATTATAGTCTATATAATATAAAGTGAATGGCATGATGTAGACTTGATATATCTGGGATGCCAAGAGTGGTAAAAGAAGGCATGTGCAAAGGGGGAAAATGAAATTCCATCCCAAACTTGCAGAGACTCTTTTAAATCATTTTTATTCATCAGTTCTTACAGATAATGCATTCATAAACAGGTCACCATTTACTGGAATAGAGCTTGAGGCAACCAACCTTAATACTTGGTGATTTTACTGAACTGCTAAGAAACAGATGTATTAGCTTTATTAGCTTCAACATTAAAGCTCTATTCACCTGAAGATTCTTAGAATCCAGAATACAACTGTTCATTCCATTTTTTTCAAGATGAAAAATGTGTATGTTGTCATTGAAGGGCAATGGGTTGGAATTGCTATGACAGTACTGAGAAGGTCAATAGAGCAAATGAAATGAAGTACACTTTAGGAGAGCAAATAGATACACAAAACCAGAGAAGAAAACAAAAGAAAATTGAATAGGTGTGCTATTGATATTTTTTTATTTACTCCGAGTACCATTTTACTAAAACAAAAATATTAGAATGTATAATTCAGAATTGTTTGAAGATATGTGTGCTTAATTCTACTGAAATAATATGTATTAAATCCTTTAATTCAATGTATTTCAACTGGCCATAGGTGCATGTAGTAAAGGTAATGGTTTCCCCATGACATTAAGTCTAGTCAAGTTTGACTCTCAGGGGTAGTGCTTATTTCCATTTCTAAGCTGAAGAGCTGGAGCTGTCCGTCATGACTGCATGGAATGCTGGTGCATCTACTTTTGTTTAGAATGAGTTTAAAGAACAACCCTGGATTTGCACATACACCCTTTCCCCAGCCTCAACCTCTCGAGATACCTTTGACTGTTCTCTCTAGCTCTTCTGGACTGGAAAAAAAGAAGTACATTGCCTCTCCTAGAAGTCTCCTGGAGAAGCTATCTTAGGTTACAGCCAGACTTCGCACTATTTGTAGTAGGACTTCTGCTCACAACAGGACTGGGGGTTTTTTGGGTGGGGGGGGAAGCATTTTGGCAGTTTGTTAGGCCCCTGAATGACCCCAGAACCCCAAAGATGACTAGCTATTCGGTTCTGCTGTTAAATTGAGTATTTTCTTGATGTACTGGGAAGTAGAATATTAATTTTGTCCAGTATAGCTTGAAAGGTGGAGGCAACATACTCAGTGTTGTTGCTGTTGCTGTTCTTGTGTGCCTTCAAGTCATTTCTGAGATGTAATGAACCTATCACAGGGGTTTCTGGGTGGAATTTGTTCCATGTGGGATTGGCCTTTCTTCTGATGCTGAGATAATGTGACTTGCCCAAGGTCACACAGTCAGTTTCCATGCCTCAGCAGGGATTCATAGCCTGGTTTCCCAGTAGTCTTGTATAAAACTCAAATCATTGCAGCACGCTGGTTCACAATAGATTCAGTATTAGTCAGATCTACCCAGCACCACTCCATTTTGTCTAAAATATACAACAGTCTGTGATAAATGGAAAAGCCTAAATCCAGTTACTAGTTTCAACAGGATTAAACCTACTAAATAAATGGGATTTACATCAATGTTGATTTAGTACTCACACAATAAATTCAATGTCTCCACCCTAGCTAGGGAGCCTATATGCTGTTGTTGTTTGGAAGATGAACGAGAACTTAAGGAGACCAGGGTTCAAATCCCCACTAATTCATATGCATAAGTCCTAGGGCAAGTCACACTTTTTCAACCTAAGAGGAAGGCAAAGGCAATGGCAAACCTCCTTTGGAAAATAAATCTTTCCACGAA